CATAAAATTTATCCATGTATTTACAGTATTTGAAACTGTTCCTTCTGAAATATTGTATAAAAATAAATAAAAACAAAGATCAAAGTTCCCGTGTAAATAAGTCAATGTTAAAATAAATGCAACAAGCGGCTTTAATACTTTTGGTCGTCCGGTAGATGAACTGTTTTTGTTTATTGGTTGTTATAAAAAATTGTTTTTTTCAATTTTTTCCAGGATCTAAAAAAGCTTAAACAGCTTGGTTATTGATGGAAATCCAGTATAAACTATACTGGATAAATGAATCTACTAATTTACCTTCAACAACATTTACTTTAAAGTCTACTTCCTCTAGTGGCGCTGACAATAATGTCGATAAAGAGATATCTACTTCATTTTGTGGCGATAAAAATTGTGCTGATGCAGACGAATCGTCATCGACATTTTCAAACAAATATTGTCTGAAACTTTGTGGTTTTCTGGATGTATCTGACACTGAAAATTTATTTTATGAGTGCAATATTGTTCTAAAAACTTTTATAAGTTTTATTTGTGTACCAAATGGGGTTTTATGGACTATTTCTTGTAAGAAATGTTTTTGATATAATCAAGTAGATTTGAAGTCTTTAAATTATCTTTATTTTCTTGTCTTTTTATTAAGTTACACCAAATTTTTCTTTCTACAGTTAGAAATGTGAAAAATATAATATTTGTTGGAACTCTAATTCCATTTACATTATCTATCATAGCTATTTGAAAAACATTTATAAAAAGCACATTGCTACCCAGACAAAATCGCCATTTTTAAACATCGTCGATTTGTTTTGATTGTTACAAACACTGCCTCGTTTTCACGGAATGCTTTATGAAAAGGTCTATTAACGTTTAAAGGTGAGTTTCCACTCGTCCGTTTTTTCTTGGGAACGGGATAGGAAAGGGAAAAATAATCACGTGAGCATGCGTAATTTTTCTTCTGACATATTAAAACTTATACTACGCATGCCCACGTGATTATTTTTCCCGCCCCTTTCCCGTTCCCGTGAAAAAACGGATGAGTGGAAACTCGCCTTAAGATTTTGTATAAATGCAAAGATATCCGCGCTATTGATAGTTATATTAAAAAACAATACGTAACCGCTGCGCAAAGTGTTAATACGTTATTTGATTATGACAACTGTCTCAAATATCCAATTTAAAAAAAATATTTTGTTATGTAAAATATTGTAATTAATATATTTTACTATTTTGTTTAAGAACATTCTATTTGATATATAGAATATTTTTAATTTATTGCTTTTAATTTAATGTTTATTTATAGAATATTTTTAACTTATTTTTTACCCCTAACTTAAAAACCTTTTGTTATAAAGTTTTTAAATCATATATTCAATAAACACATACAATGAACAAATACTCTACGCGTTAAATAAATTGAGTCAGGGCTCGTCCATAAATTACACAACGCAAAATATATTTAAAAAACAGAAATTGGAGATATTAAACTTTTTTACGCGGCGATTTTCATTAGAATTATTGAAGTATTTTGATTTTTTATTTAAATCAAGACTCTGTGAGGGAAAACTTTTAATCTTTTTTGTTTTTTTTATTATGAAACTTTGCATTACGTAATTTGTGGACGATCCCTTATTGAAAAATATCAAAACGAAATTGCAAAACTGATTTTGATTTCCATCACAAATAAAAAATATCTTCAAATTTAAATTCTTTAGAGATTAGTAAAATCTAATTTTAAGGAGTGGTGATTGCAAACAATCTACCCTACATATAAAAAATATAAAACAGATGTTATCTACTTATGTTTTAATATTTTACATCTAAAATGTTGTGATGTTTTTGCACACTTTATAGATATAGAAATTAAATATATCAAAATGAGTTTGTATGCCAAAAAGAATTTGAAGCTTTTTTTAAAAATAAGTTTTTAATAACAAAGCTAACATATCAATTGAAACATTTTCAAACACATCAAATATTCTTAATTAAATAAAATGCGTTGATATTTCCCAAAAATTAGCGTTTTAAGGTAAATAAAATATTTACTGAAAGAGGCTGGTAAAGCATAAATGTCGAATAAAATTCGGTTTATTTTCTAAAATTGTTTCCAATTGACACCAGTTATGGATACCTGGTATGGTATAGGTATACCTGGTAGGTAGTTATTGATACCTTCTGACAGTTAAAATAAAGAGCAACTATTATTAGCTATATTGTTGCGCAACAATGTGTTGAATGCTTTGGCAAAGTCGGTAAAAAATTTTTTAGCTAGGTGTCCACGGTAAACTGCTACCATTAAAATGTTACTAGATTCAATCAGGTTTGTATGGCAGCCTTTGTGATGTACAAATACATGTTTAGACTTAATCATTAGATTGCGCACAGTGTTTTATAGTCTTATCTATAACAATTCTTTTCGTTATCTTGCACGATGTAGGTGAGAGACACAAGCTTGTAGTTGTAAATCTTGGCTTTGAATCTTTTTTTCAGGGTAGGCGAGACATTTAACTTGCGTTGAAACTTTAACACTCCTTAGAGAGTCGTTAAAGCTTAGCAAGTTAATTTAGTTTTTTTGTTTTTTTGTTTTTTACTATTTAAAATCGGTATTTTAAAATTTACTTTCAGAATAATTGTAAAAGTATTAATGAGATAAATTTATTTTTTTTCTGAAATAACCTGACAAAGTTTATCTTTAAAATTAAAATGTTTTGTTTGGATTAGACTTAAATTTCAATGTCGTCGATATAAAAACAGTTAAAATTTTTTTCTTTTGTTTGGTCCCCACCAATCAAAAAAATATTATTTTAAACTATAATTCTTTGATGATATAAATAAAGCCAAGTTAAATGCAATGCCCATCATCAAGTTAATTTATTTTTTACGTTATCAATAAAAACATTTTTTTTTTTACTTTTTGTAATTAAAATTTCATTATAATTTTTTTTTTGTGTTCCGTTTTCTGGCGCCCGGGGCACGTATGGCCTTTTTGCCCTCTCTCTTGGCTACTTTAACAAATAATGATGTTTTATGGTTGCATTTACACAGAAAAATCTATGAATGAGACTTAAAAATCGTTGCAAAATCAAAACGTTTTAGCGTAGATTATTAGTTTGCAATGAAAGGAAATAATTATTTCTTTAAACAGTTATGCAAAACCATTTTAACATTCTTTTAAAGTTAAATTTTCAATTTTTAAAACCATACTTATTATAAAGTTTTTTATTAAAAAGAAAAATTATTCACCTATCTGTTTTTTTTTTTAATCAAAATGTTGTATTATTTTACAAATGCGATTAATATGCTTTTTACAACAATTAATTTCGTGTAAATAAACGCCGCATAACAGCAACAGTATCAAGTAACTATTTAAGTATTCCATTAAGACTAAAGTTTTTGTTGTTAAACATCAATTGCTAAATTTGAAACTTTGTTCGGTACGTAAATGCGTACTGCATAACGCTTCATAACTAGGTCTGAATATCCGGTATATTTATATCTAGTTGGCTCAAGACGTATTTTAGGCGTTTATAAATGTCTAGTAACCCAATAGAGTTTTTTTTGTAAAAGAAACCGTTTTTGAAAACCAGTAACAGATGGTGCATTTTATATATAAATTTTTTTTTTTAATTATTTTTTCTTTTAGGGATATTCTTTTTTTTTTTTTTTAAGGGTATTTAGGTGCTCCCAGAAGTCCTTACGGTCTTATCACGGAGCACTGCGGGAGGGCATTTAACTACGGGTTCACGCCTCCTTCCTTGCCAATGTCGCTGGAGCCGGCGTTGAATCTCGGACCTCTAGGTTCTGAGCCAGAATCATCATTATTTTCGACTGGTACTGCCAGAGGCAATTTTACGTGGGTGCTCCAACCCCCAACCCACTCCCACCCCTCAAAGAAGATGATTTTCAAGTTATAGTCGGGTTTTTTACGAATTTAGTCGGGTGCTTGACACATTTCAGTTAGTTTTGAGAACCTATTTTTTTTTTTTTCACAAGCCATTCGGTACTTTTTAAGGATTCACTCCCCTTTCCTCATTTTATTTATAGAACCGCCACTGGGTACCGCCCAAACTATCGCTGGATTGTGGTACCGCCCAAACTATTGCTGGGTTGTGGTACCGCATAAATTATCGCTGAGTACGGTACTGTGGGCTAAGTTGCAAATGTATCAGGAATTCGGAATTTTTTTAGTGGCATATTTTAAAAATATTAGAAGAACAAAGTGATCATTGTTTACTGATATACTAGAGGTCTATTTAAAACCTGCAATAACTGATGAGTAACAAAGAATGCGTAATATTTTAAAGATGTGTATAAAGAATGATTAACATGTTGTCTAACAACATTTAATAAAGAGTTTTTTATCTTTTTCTATATGATAATATGATTCAGTTGGCATTTGAACAACATTTGAAAAAGAGCACAAAAAGTAAGAAACGAAGAATAAGAATAGTTTGTGGTAATATTGATTGACTCTAATATGGCATTTAATTTTTTATTATTTTTCCAAAAGAAATTATACGTTTTTGGGGAAATAGTAACAAAAAAGATTGCGTTTTCATCAGTTCTTCGAAGATCCATTCCCAATTACCGATATGGAACAAGCGTAAAATCACAGTTTCCGTTTGGAATAGTTCTAATAAAAAATTTATAAAATTACAATAAATAAAGCAACATAAAATAACTTACTTCTAAATATAATTTTGGTATCAATTAAACATAAAGCGAATTGATTATTTTCGTAAACATAAAATAATGAATTGTTTTCTCCTAGATGGTACATATATACTATACTGAAGCATAAACAAAATATTAATAGAAAATAAATTTAAAATTTAACACAATTTTTAGTTCAAATAAATAAGTTCGTGCTAAAAATTTTACTGCATAATTATTTAAAAAACTTTTTTATAGTATAAAAAAAAAATAGTAGTATTTCATTTTAAGAAAAATACTCAATCAGTATTTCAAGTTTTTAACTGATTTTTACATTAGTTAATTAAATGGTGCGTGTCAGATGTGACCTAAGAGGGTGTTAGTCTCTAGGCCCGAGCGTGTAATTCGTGAGGAATCATACTGCCCTAGTCATCATTTGCCTTACTGATGACTGCCGTAGCAGTCAACAGGTAAGGATTACACCATACTGATGATAATACTGAATGCGTTCTTAACAAGTTTATCATACTATGTTCAATATTGATTGTGGTGTGCATTTTTTTAAATTTAAACATTCTTTATCAATAGTGTTTTTTAATCCAAGTAATTATTTGCAAATGTATTCTATTTTTATTTTTACATATATTTATTTAATATATTTTATTTTATACATATTATTTTGCATTATATTTGCAAACTCTAGTTTGTAAATATATTCATTTATAATTTATATGTTAATCACGGCTGTTTCAAATGAGCTCTTAACAGCTTCGTGCTATTTTTTGAAAACATTTACTCAAGTAATTCTACTAAAACTTTTATAACTTTTTAAATACTATAATTCTGTAAAAAAAATAACAACACCGATATAATGTTTTATTTTACAAAATTCAATAAACTAATCAAGATCTTATTCAACTTTTAATAAACGCTGCAAATGATGAATATAGCGGAATTTCTATAATTTGTTGTTACTTTTTCTCAAAAAAAACAAAAAAAAACATGAAAATAGATATTTCTGATATTTATTAACATTTAATGTTTTACGTCATCGCTATAAAAAACGTCAGCAAAAATTTACGCGACAAACTACTAAACACGCCCATTAATTACGTCAACAAAGTAGGGGGAGGGGGATCTGATTTTTTTGACAATTGTTTAGATTGGGAGGGGGAGGTCAAGAAAAGTTGACGTCAACAATTTATTTTTATTACTTTTTTTTTATAAATTTAACTATTTAAAAAAAGGAAAATATTGCAGCGTTTGCAGTCCTGTGTTACATAGTCACTGAACCTTCAGTATTTTAATTCCTATTCTATAAATTTATATTCCTATTTTTTAAAAACCGTTTTGTGCTTTAAAAAGACCCGACATACAGAACTAAATAATTATACACATGATGTTTACTCGTAACGCTATTATTTTTTCAAAACTATTTTTGTCTCGGTCTGCTGTGCAAACAAAAAAGATTCATATCTACATTATATTGTTTAAACAGCTCGCAAGCCTCTTGTGATTCTTTCGATGTCAAGATGAAGCTCTTTAGCTGCATCTTGACATCGAAATAATATTATCTTGACATGCACAAATAATAAGGGATGCGAAGTCCCAAAAGGACTCCGGTTTTATATCTCTATTTTTTACTGGTTCCTGGTGTCCAAAAGCTCTGAACTTGTTGGTTGATTTATAATCTGCTAAATAAAAAAACTCATTAAATTTAATAACTTTTTTTATTTCATTTTTTTTTTTACTCATAAATCTAATGACCAAAGTCCCAGAGTCCTAGCCGCCATTATACCAAAATTATATTAAATTATAGAGCAAAATTATAGAGCAGCCGTGGCGTAGTGGCTATAGTTCTGGCTCAGAACTTAAAGGTCCGGGGTTCGACGCCGGCTATAGCCCAATAAGCGACATTGGTAGGAAGAAGGCGCGAACTTCCAGTTAAATGCTCTCCCGCGGTGCTCCGTGATAAGAACGTAAGGACTTCTGGGAGCAGCTATATAACATTAAAAAAAAAAAAAAAATTGTTCCTCTAACCTAAAAGTCTTAATATTTTACCAATTGTATTCCATAACTGTTTATTATTAGAGCACATGGATACCAAAAACTAGGAAGAAGTAATATTTTTGTGACATTTAAATCCGGATGTTTTTTAAGACTTCGGATCCTTAATATTTGTACGGCCGAGGCGCAGTGGTTAGAGCGCTGGTTTTATAAGCAGGAGATCCAGGTTCGAAACGAGATTTGAACCTATTTCGCGTCACGGTAAGGAAGGAGGCGAGAACTTCCTGGTTAAATGCACTTCCACGCTGCTCTGTGACAAGACCGTTAGGTCATCTTGGGGCACCTAAATAACATATTTAAAAATATATATATATAATTTTAAAATAAAGATAATGGTAGCTCTTTAAAAATTGAAAAACTTTGTATATTGTGACTTTCGGCTCTTCCGTCTCAAAAGGTTGCCAACTCGTGGTTTATTAGCCAAATTCATATAAGGCGGTTTGTAGGGGAAAAAAAAAATGGTAGCTTAAAAAATAACAACAAAACCGTTTTAAGTCTGATTTTGTTTATTGAAAGTTTTGTTTATATAAATTTCAAATCTTTTTAAATAAAAACAGTGGCTTAATTTAAAAGTCATGTGGTAAATATGATTGATTGAGAAGCAAAAAATGAATTGTTAAAAGTAATTGGGTTTATATTAATTGTGAAATCTACTTATTATGGTATTTTACTAAAAATGTTTATTTATGTTTAAAGTTGTAAAATGTCAGATAATATTTATTTTTCAAATAAAATACAATGTGTGATGTGGCTTAAAGAAACTGGGCACTCAGGATCAGGAACATTGAAAGAGTTGCGCCAAAGAACTCAAAAGTTTTCTTTGTATCCAAATTTAGTCAAACGATTGAGAGACAAAACAAAAAGAATTATACGTTTGAATGCAGTCTCAACCCGTTATATATACCTCAAGTAACATCAGAATGGTCTTCTGATGAAACCTTGTACCCCCTTGTAAACGAGGAAACATTTTTAAGTTATTGTTCATATAAAAAGCAGGGGAATATTGGCCAACAAGAAAAAGCTGTAAGAATGCTACAGAGCAGGAAAATTGTTTCAGTGAAATCACTGCAGGATAATAATGTAATATATGTCCAAGGAGTGATTAAAAAGTCGTATGGTACTGATATACGGCCTGCTGTTGTGTTATTTGAAAACATAACTCCTAGACGAGCATATTGTAGTTGTCCGATAGGCTCTAGTGGATTGTGCTGTCATATTCTAGCTCTTTTATTATATTTAAAACATTATTTTGAAACTAATGAGAAAATTTTAGAATTGTCGTGCACACAACAACTACAAAAATGGCACAAACGGACTACAAAAGGGTCTATACCTATGGTTCCACTTAAAAACATAAAACCAAAATCAGCCAAATTAAAAAAAAAGTCTGGTAAATTAAAAATATCTCCTGCTGATCCTAATTCAAACAATTATAAAAGAGATTTAGATTTGATTGTAAAAAAACTAAAAGAACAATTGAAAAAAGAAAAACCGATTGAAATACATACTTTTTCTGTTTTAATTAATTCAACATTTATGATACAGACTTCTGTTGCACAACATTTGCATTACAAATATACATTAAAAACAGCTTTTGCATTAGCTGATCATAAATATTGCAAATCACAAATGTTTGATGAAAGTGTGATAGAAGTAGAAAACGAAAAAATAGAGCAAATAAAATATTATGTAGATAATGAATCTTTAATTAAAACTGGTAATAGTACAAATGTAAATATACACCAAAATGATTCTTTTATAAATCTTATAATAAATCAGAATACTTTAAAAATACAAGTTGAAACAACAGATCTAGTCTATCAAAATTGCAAAAACATACCACTACATAATGAAATAAACGAGCAGCTGAAAAGTAACATTGAAAACATTAAAATAGATTTAAAGGGATCCCAAACTCCCAACACATGTTGTGTTCATATTAAAGATAATGTTAAAAAAAAAGGTTTGAACCAAATTTTTTTGATTAAAAATAAATAATGAATGCCTACCGTGAAAAACAAATGTTGTTGTTTTTGCCGAAGCTCGTCTTCTCCATTTTTTTCAACCACTCGGAGTCTTCAAATTATGCGTCGCAATCTACAGACTTTGGCAATTCATTTGAAGCGCGTTTAACTCATTAAAGTTTTAGTATTTGACCTCACGGTAGACTTTTAACAAAAGAAAAGTGTATTAAACTAAGCTGCGTTTTTCTACTGTGGTATTTTTTTAACATACAGCAAAACAAATTTATTTGTATTATTTTTCCAAACATCGCAAAAAAAATTTTGTAAAAAGTAAAAACAATAAATTATTTTTATTTTATAGGAACAACTTATTTTTTACAGATATCTTATTAATTTTTAGATTTATATATCTTACTTATATTTCTTTAATTATTTAAATTAAAACAAATATTAAAGCTTTACTTACCAATCTCATGATTTTCATACGAGTATTTTACATTATATAGAACGTTTTATATACGGTATCTTGTTTTTGCGCAAGAGAGCGCGGTATTCTGATTTTTAATTATTTTTATTTAAACAATGGGAACTATTTTCTAACCTCTTTGGTTATTTTTAAGCTATGACAATTTTTTGTTTTCCCGTTGAAAAAAAGTATTTATTAACAATTGCTTTCATAAACTGACAGTATTAATTAGAGATATTTAATGAATTGTTAACTTTTTTTATTATAAAATTTTTTTGATCACACTGATTTAATTTAAATTGCTAAATTTGCTGAATTGGATACGGATAAAAAGGAAATACCATTTTATTTTACATTTGATTTTTGATAATAAAATTTTTAAAATTTTAGCAACTCCATACCAATTAGAACCTGTTAAGATTATGAAAAAAAAAGTACAAGAATACACTAAACAATACAGTTGACAGTAGTATTAGATATGAAAATTCGTGAAAGGATATGTGAGATCCTGATTTTGCATTAAAAGTACAATTAATTGCAACACAAGTCGGCATTATAAATTTTGATTATAAGTTTACTGTTCAATATTTTATAACCATCAAATAAAAAACATGAAGTTTGTATATTTTCCCCCGTTTTATACAAATAATATTTAACAAAAATACGGACAAGTTATTATTAAATAACGTAATAATTAACACATTAATTAAAGGCAAGATAGATGGTAGTTTAAAAATAGATGGTAGTTTTAAGATAGATGGTAATTTAAATTGTTAAAATGTCATAACGCGCATTAAAAAACTTATTATATTTGGTATTTCCAAATTTGTGTCGTAATTGGCATTTGTCTCTTGACATGAAAAATTAAAAATTTTTAAAAACACAATTAACAAATACAAATTTTCAAGCAATTTTCTCTTCCAATTCTCATTTATTCAAAGAAAATTTACTGTTAAACTTTTATTTCTCTCATCTAAAAAAAGAACGAGCGACGCAA